CACCGCCTACCTGCGGCTGCTGGCCTTCCTGCGGCGGTGGCGGCGGCGGCGGCACGACAGCAGGGTCGTGGCCCGCTCTGTCCGCATCCTGGTGGCCTCCTTCTTCCTCTGCTGGTTCCCCAACCACGTGGTCACCTTCTGGGGTGTCCTGGTGAAGTTCGACCTGGTGCCCTGGGACAGCACTTTCTACGCCTTCCACACCTACGTCTTCCCCGTCACCACCTGCTTGGCACACAGCAACATCTGCCTCAACCCTGTGCTGTACTGCCTCCTGAGGAGGGGGCCGCGCCGGGCGCTGGCCGACACCTTCCGGGGTCTGCGAGCCAGGCTGTGGCCCCAGGGCCCAGGCTGGGTGGAACAGGCAGCCCTCAAGGAGGTAGGCAGGCGGTGGGTGGCAGGCATCCCCCAGGAGAGAGGCCCGTCGGCCATGCTCGCCAACCTGGACAGAGACACCCCTGGGTGAAGGTGCAAGCTGAACTCTCCCCCGTCTGGGGTCTGCCGGGTGCAGGATCTGCGCATCCTCAGCCAGGCTGCAACGCTCTCAGGAAAGACTGGATCCCCAAGTCCGGGTGCAGTTGAAGGGGGGAGGCCCTCAGGCGCAGGCTGGGTGTGACCAAGCTTGTCTGTTTGGAGGTGGGAAAGGAGAAGCTGAGAATAAATCTCTAGGTTATCCACAACTTGTCTGGATCGTTTATCCCAGTTCCGCTTCCAGCTCACTAGGACTAGAGCAACAATTAACAAACCAAAAATGGAGAGGCCAGCCCCTCCTGGTGTGTTTTGTAGGGCAGGGGCTCCCCTTGGCTCCCATATTCACGAGACCCATCAATAGCAGCCAGCAGGACTTCCTGGTGGTGGGGGGGTGGGGGCAGCTCCTGGACTGAGGGAGGAGACGGGAAGGAGATGGAGCTCCCAAACCCACCCAGCGTTCTGGTGTGTCTTAACCCCGGAGGACACTGGCCAATCCCAGTCCGGAGTGCCTCCTCAGTGGGAGCCCTGCTGGAAGGGAAGCCACGTTGCCCACGGGGTCCCTCGCCCCATGCCATTCAGCAGCTGAGCGGGAGGCGCTAAAGCAGCACCCTTCAGAACACATTAGGCAATGCAGAATGGCTTAATTGGCCTCTTGACGTTTAATTTCCTCTTTCTGATAATGTTTAAACTGGTTCCTAGACTCCAGGTCTGTTCCCATCCTGACTCAGGACGGAAAATCCTCCCCCACCAAAGCACCCTCTTCTCGCCCCCAGCAGCTTGACTGCCAGGCTCCGGATATTGGCTCCTCTGGGGGCACATCTACTTTATGGGACCCGGAGGTAAATATTGCCTGTTTGTACAGGTCCAGAGACCATGAGTGTGCACAGAACTACCCTTGGAAGGGTGGGCAAGGGAGGGGAGGGGTGCAGGGAGGGAGCAGGCCCTGGCACCCAGCCCGCATGCCTCTCAACTAGGAATGGAAAGAGGGCAACTATGGGGAGAAGCTGGGCCCTGGCTCCTGGACCGTAATACCAGAGAGCTTTGAAAAGGTGGGGCTTGAAGATAGGTGGTAGGTGGCATGGTGATTAAGGCACTGGATTTCCACACAGCCATAGTTCGAGTCCTGAACCCGGCAGTTTGAAAATCATACCAGGCTGTATCCAAAATCCTGAGAGAATGGAGAAAGAATTGTGGTGTGGCTATCCCCCCTGGGAGGATGATTTATCACTCCCCCTTCCAGTGAGCACACAGTCCCTATGGCAAAAATTTTAAAAAATTGGGGATCAGCAGGTGGTGTGGTGGTTAAGGCACTGGACACGCCCACATGGCTGACCACGGTCTGGACCTGGTGACTTGCTTTCTCACTTTCCCTCTCTCTCTCTTTGTGTCTCTCTCTGGTCAAGTTAAAATAAATAAATGAATAAATAATTCTTAAAAAATTTTTAAAATTGAATAAAAAAAAGACAAGGTAGGGCCGTCAGGTGGTGTGGTGGTTAAGGTGTTGGACTTCCCGTATGGCTGACTGCAGTTTGAGTCCCAGACCTGGTGGCTTGTTTTCTCACTGTCTTTCTTTCTCTCTCTGGTCAAACCAAAATAAATAAATAAAGGTAAATAAAATGATTATTTAAAAAAAATGGGACCAGCAGTTAGCGTAAGGGCTATGTCTCTGGACTCCCATGTAGTCGACCGTGGTTCGAGTCCCGGACCTGGTGGCTTAAACTCATGCCGGGTGCGTGTGTGTGCATGCCCAAGATCCCGAGAGAATGGAGGAGAAGGGATTGCGGCGTGGCCATCTCCCTGGGGGTTGATTTCTCACTTTCTGTCTCTCTGTCTCTCTCTGTCTGTCTGGCGAGCGCACGCGCCCTATAGCAAAAACCTCTCCAAAAAATAAAAAAAGACTGAGCTTCCGGGGACCAGCAGATGGTGTAATGGTTATGTCACTGGACTCTCACAAAGCCAACTGAGGTTCCAGTCCCAGACCTAGAGACTTAAAACTCACAACAGATGCATGTGTGCGTGTACCCAAAATCCCAAGAGAAGAATGGAAGAGGGGATTGTGGTGTGGCCATCCTTCCCTGGGGGGCGGGGGTCATGTCTCCCTTTCTGTCTGTTAAGTGTACAGGCCCTGTAGCAAAAAATCTCTCTTAAAAAACAAAAAACAGGGACCAGCAGTTGGCGTAATGGCTGTGTCTCTGGACTCCCATGTAGTCGACCGCGGTTCAAGTCCTGGACCTTGTGGCTTAAACTCATGCCGGGTGCGTGTGTGCATGCCCAAGATCCCAGTAGGAGAATGAAGAAGGGATTGCAGAGTGGCCATCCCCCCCTGGGGAGCAATTTCTTGCTTTCTGTCTCTCTCTGTCTCTCTGGCGAATGCATGTGCCCTATAGCAAAAACCTCTCTCTCAAAAAAAAAATTGAGTTCTCAAAGTGGGATTAGAGAGAGGCCCAGGGATAAAATGGTAGAGGGTGTTAAGAGGCCTGGCTTTTGGAATAGCCACCTCTGAGAGGCTCTTAGACACCTCATGAGGAGAGGGGTGGTTCTGGGAGACGGGCTAGTAAAGGGGCGGGGCTGCGAGCACCCAGCAGTGCTCTGCTCCTGTGAGCTGGGGGTCTTTGCACCCTGGGGTGCTCAGTCTACAGGTTTCCATTTCCCGCACTGGATCCCTGGGGGAGCGGGGACCTGCACTCCCCATCTTGCAGTCCGGTCCAGGAGGCTAACACCCGCCCACCACTCTCCCTCCCCCTGCAGTCGCCCTCACAGCTCTGGGTCCCAGCTGCCCCCAGCTGCCAGGGCTGACAACTGCTGAGCCAAGTGTCAGTGCTTGAAACTTGAAGCCTGGTACTTTCAGGCAGAGGCGCCAAGAGGGGAAGTGGAGGATGGAGCTAGGAGGGCTGGCCCCTGGCTGGCTCCCTACCCTGGCCTGGCAACCTCTCTGCACCCAGCTTTCCTGCCTGTAGAGAACCACTCCTACCTCTTGACATTGCCCGGGATGACAGAAAAGCACCTTGCCAAGGCCTGATGCTGAGGGTGAGCTACAGAGGGGGAGAAAGCGGGCTGCCCCCCCAGGTGCCCTCCCTTTGGATTTCATTTCCGGTTTCTTGCTGTGGGACTGAGCCCTGGTCTCATCTTACCCCAGGGCGTGAGAGGGGATGTGCAGGACACGGTATTCATCCTAGGAAAATCTAAAAGTTCACGGGAAATGTATATTTTGAAAAAACTATGCGTGCTCATTCATTTTTGCACAAAAATAAACTCCTACTTTAATTCCAGTTTCCCAAGAATGGAAGCTCCCCCTCGTACACTCTGAGAGCTCACCCCTGCCCTCCTGCCACAGCCTGACAGCAGGACATCAACCAGAAACAGGAAGTAAAACCAGCCAAAAATAAGAACTGAAACCAGCTCTGCACGAGGCAGGGAGGAAAAGAGCAGCTCCTAAGAGGGGCACCCCGGCCCCAGGCTCTGACACTACAGAGACAACTGGGGCAGAGAGCAGGCTCCATCTGACACTGAACCACACAGGACGGGGTACCAGGAAGTGTACCCCACGGGGCCAACAGGCGGTGTGGCTTCGAGCGCAGCCTACGAGTGACATGACCACACGGTTTTCTAATCCCGGCTGCAACAGCTTGAGGGTCCCTCATTTTTACCCGTAAGCGCGAATTAAACAAAGGTCTGCCGCAGCTTTGGCTTTGTGTGTCCGTGCCCTTCCTCCTCTTGAGGCAGAGCCTGCCCTTCCGGTGAGAGGAAAGGGCCCCTTCCAGAGGAACTGAGGTCACGGCCGAGCTCCCCACTCACCACCCTCGGGACTGGCAGAGATTACGAGACAGCACCTTATGGGGTTCCAGGTCTTTAATTTTCCCTGCTTGATTTTTTTTTTCTTTTTTTTTTTCTTTTTGTCTTAAACAATCAAATTGGCAGAAAAAAATGGCTGTATCTGGTGGGCATAGGGGATCCACTGGAAAATCCCCCCAATTCACTCTGAGGTTTTAGGTCATAGTTGCTGAGATGGGAGATGAGGTCAGGTTGGTAGAGATTTCCCGACCCAGCCTAGAACTTTCTTCCACACGGCTGGGGAAGAGGTCAGAAGCGGTCCCCCATTACTGTAGATGAAAACGTAGGCGGGAGAAGTCACCGTCCCTCCCGCCCCTGAGTTCTTCAGAGATGTGGACGTAGAAGCCTAGATCTCTAATTGCCTACAATCTCATCTTAAAAATATAAAACACGTGCAGTTGGCTTTGGTACAAAAAAGAAAACAAAACAAAACATTCTGGTCCCTGTGGGTTTTTTCCCCCCAACAAACCATGATGGCCACCCCAGTCTCTAGTCCATCACGTCTAGGAGGCCAGGTTATCTCCCTGGGGCTTCCATGGAGGACAGAGAGTAGGGAGGACAGCAGGAAAGGGTCGAGGGGAGAGGGACATGGCCCTGCCCACAGCCCTCCTTAAAGGGGCAGTAAGGTCCTACGCGGCAGCCTCTTCGCACAGATGGGTGTGGCTGGAGAGAGGCGTCAGGGCTAGACCCCAGCAGCTGCAGGGCTGAGCCTGAATATTCCCCAGTAGTGTTTAAGGACAAGGCCCCCTGATCCCTATGGCTTGGTTCCCATGTCCCTGGTCCTTTAAATCTCCCCTCTCCCCCCATAACTAATAAACAATAAATAAATAAATTTTCCTAAGTAGAGGGAAGAAGGCATGAAAAGTCATCATCTGTAATGTATCTTTTGAATGAAACCGGGGGTCTCATGGCCTAGTTCCCCCCGCTTCCTACAGGGCTCCAGGTATCCAGGGATCCCAAGAGCTGGCAAGGACAATCAGCAGTTCTCGCGATGTTCCCTCACGGTCGTAGATGAGTCCCCAGGGTGTGCCCCTTCAGTAATGTTCTTCTGCTGGGGCACGGGGCAGGGGAGGGCCCCTTAGCTCTCCGAAGTTACGGACTCCCCGTCACGGCTCTCGGTCTCCTCTGGGATGTCCTGCATTCGGGTGAAGTCTGAAGGGGAACGGGCAAAGGCAATGAGTGAGCAGAGGCTCCCACGAGGAACGGCACCCCGACACTGAGGCCTCCCCTGTGGGCTGGGGGTTCTGAAGGCCATGGAGGACTGGCAGGGGGCCATGCCTACTCCGGTGAGGGGAAAACAGGGTTTACTTTGTGAGAATGCAAAGGCACCATGGGACTGATGAGCCACAGGGTGCTATACGGCCTAATGTGAAACCATAGTTGCTTTCGGTTATTTTGCATTTCTTGAACCAATTATAAGAACCTGAAAATCTTTGAAAATATTTTACTTTAAAAGTCTACTTGGGGAGACCAGCAGTTGGCGTAATGGTTATGTCGCTGGACTCCCATGTAGTCGACCACGATTCCAGTCCTGGACCCAGTGGCTTGAACTCACGCTGGGTATGTGTGCGTGTGTGCCCAAGATCCTGAGAGGAGAATGGAGGAGAAGGGATTGTGGTGTGGCCATCCCCCTGGGGGGTGATTTCTTGCTTTCTGTCTCTTTGCCTTCTCTGTCTTTCTAGAGAGCACACACGCCCTATAGCAAAAACCTCTTAAAAAAAAAACAAAAAACAAAAAACTACTTGGGGGACCAGCAGATGGTGTAGTTGACCATAGTTCTAGTCCCAGACCCATAAGCGTACAAAACTCACACCAGGCGTGTGTGTGCGTGCGTGTGTGTGTGTGTGTGTGTGTGTGTCCCAAATCCCAAGGGGAGACTGGAGGAGAATGGACTGCAGAGTGGCCATCCCCCCTGGGGTGATTTCTCACTTTGTCTCTCTGGTGAGCCCTATAGTAGAAATCTCTCTTAAAAAAAAAAAATCACGCCAAGCACAAGTGCATGCCCAAAATCCCAGAAGGAAAATGGAGAAAGGATTGCTGCGTGGCCACAACCCCCGGGGTGTGCCATCTCACTCGCCCTCACCCTCTCCACAAGTGCACATGCCCTAGGGCAAAAACAGAAAGAACAAACAGCAGAACCTCCTGGGGCCTGGACGAGGCCAGGTGGTGGCACAGCACTGGTCCGCACGAACCATGCAAGAAGGCTTGTCCCCGAGCATTCCACGTACACGTGTGCCCACGATCCAGGCTGGCTGGTACTAGGGGTGGACTGTCATGTGGGGACCCTGGACCCTGGTAGGGTTACCTATATCTCTCTCTCATGGAAAAAATAAATAAACCTAAAAAAAAAAAAAAGGAAAACCTGTTTCCACCTGGAAAGATCGGGAATCACCAACCAATCAGAAAAAGAGAGGCTCCTACAGTCTGTTCTTATTGCTCCACCACCCATCCATCATCGGGCAAAACAGGAAGTCCTCTCTGTCCCTCCCAAGGGTTACTGCAGACCTCGGCGGTCAGTCAGGGCCGATCTGGAAGCCGCACCCTGAGGGCCCACAGCCAGGCTGCACTCTGCCTCTATTCCACGTCTCTGCCAGGGTCTCACCTCGCGGACTGTGGGGTGGAGACAGACGGCTGCTAACTTCCTCCTCGCTGCCAGTGTCGGGGTCACTGCTATCTTGCAGACGTTCCTCTGGACTCCCCAGCTCCTGCCTCTCTCGGTCCTCAAAGGGTCGATGGACAGAGCGAACGGTCACAGACAGATCCAAGCGGTCATGGCCTCGGCTTGAGTGAAGAGGGCGAGCAGGAGAGGCTGCGGACTAGGGATTGAACAGAGGGAAGGCTGCAGGTTCTGCTGAGAGGGCACCAGCGACTGACGTCCCACTGTGGCTCCCCAGCGACCCTCCTTCAGTGGCTGTACCACCAACTGGGCTACATCCCTTCAACCCTCACCCCCCCACCCACCTCTACTTCTCAACTCTCCAGCCAGAATCTAAAAATCCAAGTCTGCTGCCTGATTTCTTTGGGCCTAAATCCCCACAACCTAATTTCTCTCTCTTTTTTATTATTTTTTTTATTTTTGCTCACATGCACTCACCAGAGAGAAAAGGAAAGTGAGAAATCACCCCCTACGGGGGATCGTCACCCCACAATCTCTTCTCTGCTTGGGATTTTTGGCGTGCACACACACTGGCACTCAGTGTTTTTCAAGCAGCCTGATCTGGAACTTGAACCGGAGTTGGCCCCGTGGGACCCGGCACCTTAACCCCCGTGCTGTCTGCTGGTCCTCTCTCTCTCTCTCTTTTTTTAAATAATTATTTTATTGGGAACTAGCAGTTGGCACAATGGCTATGTCTATGGACTCCCATGTAGTCAACTGTGGTTTGAGTCCCAGACCTGGTGGCTTAACCTCACACCGGGCATGTGTGCGTGTGTGCCCAAGATCCCGAGAGGAGAATGGAGGAGAAGGGATTGCGACGTGGCCATCCCCCCTGGGGGGTGATTTCTCACTTTTTGTCTCTCTGTCTCTGTCTTTCTGGCAAGTGCACGTGCCCTATAGCAAAAATCTCCCCCCCCCCAAATAATTATTTTATCGAACTTTGACCAGAGAGGGATAGAGCGAGAGGGAGAGAGAGAGAGAGAGGGAAAGCGAGAAAGCAAGCCACCAGGTCTGGGACTTGAATCCCAGTTGGCCATGTGGGAGTCCAGCGCTCTTAACCACCGCCAAGTGCCAGCCCCATGGCCCTCTTTTTTTAAGACAGTGTCTTGCTGTATTGTCCAACCTGGCCCTGAACTTGTGAACCTTCTTCTCCCAGAGTAGCTGGGATTACAGGCGCATGACATGGCTGTCCTTTCTTTCAGATTCCACCGCCCCTTAAGGCTACCCCATCCAGTCCCTCTGGAAGCCGCCTTACCTGCGGGGGCGTGAAACTCAGGTATAGGGCATCCCCAGCAGGGAGGCTGCGCCGCCGAGGATCCAGAGGCCTGCGGGCCCAGGGGAACCTTCTTCTCCCAGAGTAGCTGGGATTACAGGCGCATGACATGGCTGTCCTTTCTTTCAGATTCCACCGCCCCTTAAGGCTACCCCATCCAGTCCCTCTGGAAGCCGCCTTACCTGCGGGGGCGTGAAACTCAGGTATAGGGCATCCCCAGCAGGGAGGCTGCGCCGCCGAGGATCCAGAGGCCTGCGGGCCCAGGGGGCCTCTGCTGGGAGTGGCTCGGTCTGGCCCAAGGCCGCCAGCTG